CAAAAGTTATTTCACCAAATACGGATTCTGAAATGTAATTAAATATATATATATATATATATATATATATATATATATATACATATATATATATATTAGTGGTTGGCCGTTATCTGTGTTAACGCGAGTCTCTTATCGGGTGATGAAAAAATATCGCCATTAATCTAAACTCATAGTAGGGTTGGGAGCTGGATCTATTCTACGCAAGCTATGATGACTTTCACCATAATATTTATGTATACCGAATTGCACTGTAGGGGCTGAGAACGAGTCTTCAAGCCTGTGTGTATTCCTACTGTGAAATTACCACATCAAACGTGACATGCTAACATGGATGCAGTTTACTAGAGTGAATCTGATTAATGTTAGCTTTCAATCAAAAAAATGCAACCATTTAAGCTCAACTTCCATACGAATGACATGAAAACACTGGCTATAAATGAATAGTTTTCCATAATATGGAATTCATGTTCATTTTTTTATTTTTTTTGCCCATTTATTTCTGCTTTTGAATTGCACTATGGGATCTTGATCTTTCTCCTAACAACTTTTAAACTTGAAAAGCTGGATAAGGTGACGTTTATGAAGATTTTTTAAAAGTTTAAGGTGATTTATTGTCTGGGTTGGTGTTGTAAATTACGCCGCAAAGACCTTGTAATAAACTACCAGTACATTTTCTGCTATTTTACAGACTATTTCTCTATATATTATGTCTTCTACAATATATTATTTCACATTATTAAAATGTCAATAAAAGTCACTTTGTTAAACTGTAGGCTGAATTTTCAACACCAGAAGTTGTAGTCGAAGTAATGCAATTCACAACCGTAAATAAACAGAAAACACTTGAGAATCACAAAACACAGAAACTGTTTATTAATGTATTTAACAGTGTGTGCTGCGCTTGCAACGCACCATTAGAGATGCACTTTTTAAGTGTGATAAGACTATTAATAGGGATGGTATCGTTAAGGTTTTAACAGTGTTACTACTTTAATCGATACCACTTATCAGTTCGGTACTTTAACAGTTCTCTTATCGGTAGTTATTGTAATGTTTTTTTTTTATTGGAAAAAAAAATTAAACAGAATTAACAACTTTATTCTACTATTAAGCATTTAATGTAAAATAAAACAAAACCAATAATTGTAAAACAAAGAAACTTATTATATTTGTCTTGTAAAAGAATGTACAATGGTTTGAAGGAAAAGGGTTGGATCTGAAGTCTGGACCTATCTTGTTTTATTGTACTCCCTGCAGTTGAAAATGCCCTCTTTGAGTTGCAAAATGCAGTTAAATGAGATCATGTTTTAGATTTTTCATTAACGCATTCACATTAATGAGTTAACAGTGTTTTGGGAGTTAACTATGTTTTTAATACTGTTTTTGAGCATCTTGCAATGTAAAAATAAGCTATTTTTAAAATAATTTTTAACAAGCATAGTTTATTATTAGGCTATTATTAGGTTATATTAGTAAATACTAAGGCATGGGCATTTTTAACGTTCAAAATTTATTTAGGCTACTGCAGAAATTTTTTTTTTTCATATGTGTGTGTTTATTTAACTATTATTATTATACTATTTTAGGTGATTGACTGCGGGCATAATGATGTGGATGATGTAGAGTTACCGTTAGTAGCTAGGCAGACGTGCTCACCAGAAACACGAGCATTTCTCATGAGATTGCCAACTGTGAAGACGAATATCGCAAATTAGAAAAGGTTTGTCAGTTAAATTATGCTACTATAAGTAATGTTTATTCAGCAATAATTCTCCAGAACCGTTAACGTCCGAGTGTATCGATACTTCGGTCTAGAGGTCTGCATTCCGAATTTCCGAATAAAGCACAGGAGTGGTCGGTAACTGGTTTAATTTTGGACGGGAGCGGGCCGTCTAGCGGTATCGCCCACGACTCCTGAGCGAGCGAGCGAGCACGTGTATGTATGTGTGTGAACGAGACAGTGGGACGCTGCTTAGCTTGTTTGTTGCTGTGTGTGTGCTTGGTGCTAATATGTATGTGTTTATACATATATATAAACACATACATATGTACTTCTGTCTTTTATGGTGTAGCACTGATAACGATAAAGTACAGAGTTTTGGTACCCATGCCAGATGTTCTCGCTATTTTCTTTATTCAAATGAGTAGCAGCTTGGACCCGGAAACAGTCTTTCATACGCTACGACCTAACAAGCGGATAATACACCTAGCTAGAATAAACACAGAGAAAGAATCAAATCTCTGAGTCTCTCATTATTTATCTGAGCATTCAACAAGGTCAGAATAACAGCTAAACACATACACACACACACACACACACACACACACACACACAGCCCTGAGGCTACATGGGCGTTTATATAACCGACAAACAGATGGAGCGAGAGGGAAAACACATGTATTTAAGCATGTTCTCCTGCATTATTAATAGACATAACTGTTTCAAACACCTCCTTTCACCACAGGAGATTCCTTATTCTGTCATAAGTGGGTAGATGGATCTATATGGAAAGAGTCTCTGTGATTTTAGGGATCATGTGAACCGGCACACAACACATTGAGATTGTGCAAAGGGGAATTGCACCAGACTGCTCAATAATCAGTGTTGGGCATGTTCCTTTAAAAGAGTCATTATAGTTACTAGTTACTTCTCACAAATAGTAACATCACTATAAAAGTAACTTATTACCAGAGAAAGTAACTATTGTGTTACTTTAAAGAAAATCGAACTTGTCAACAGACTATAAACGAAATATAAAACATTGTGGACTAATCCACCGTATTGTAATGTCGTTGTGGGACAATATGAGAGACGACCCTATAAGGTCTCATGTGGGACGTGTTCATTTGTTGTGTTTTGTGATTTGCAGAGCAAACGAGACAGGTTCCGAAACAAAGGCCCCGTTTACACTGCCAGTTAAATGTGACCCGATTCCGATTTTTTGCTCATATGTGACACAGATCGCATCTGTTTTATGACAGTGCAAACACAAAAAAAACGGACATTCGTGTATTCAGAGATCGGTTTCAGGTCTCCTTCATATGTGGAAATAAATCAGATACAGATCGGATATGTGACAATGCGACTGTCATGTAAACAGGCAGATCGGATTTATTGAGGCATTTCGTTCTGTACATCATTAAACTTGCGACAATGTGGTGCTTCTCCACGGTTTAATGACATAAGGAAGAGCGTGTGTGGAGATGACGACGCGGTAAACAACATCAGAGGAAACACGGAGGAGGAAAGTGGTCAGTCGCCACAATTTGCTCCCACCAGACCAGAGATCTCTCTCGTAACCATACATGGTGGAGGACATCATAAAGCATATATACCATAAGCGCAAGCTCCCATGACGGCCCTTTCCCACCTCTGCCTCAAAATCATTTTAAAGTTCGGCGAACTTTGTGTTGTAACTTTTCCTTTTTGTCGCTATTAATATACGCACTGCGGGCTACACATAGAACAACTTTATTCTCTCCAACATTAGTCAGTGCGCAGCACTGTGCACACAGGCAAAAGCTACATCTTCAACTACACACACACACACACATCAGGGCCATACCATTACATAAATTGCCTAGGGGTAAATCTGGACTGAACCATTCACTGCTTTTACTACACTTCGCATATTTCGCAGAGCTAAAAACAAGACAATTTCTTCCATAGTGGCAAGTCCCAGATAACAGGAAGTAATCGGCCCGAGCTCAGCTGCCCTTCGGCGCCTCTGGCTCCGACTCGGCATTGGCGAGTGTCATCCGGGCCGAGTATGGCCCGCAGCTCGCTCCCGCACATCCGTTTGTGATGATTCCTGTTAACCACATCTGGCCGGAGTCTGTGTGTAGAGTCCGGGCCGCTTCTGGCAAGGACTCGGCTTGTTTAACTGATGACAACCGATTAAATTCTTATTTTATATAGTAATTTGTTAGCTACACCTTTAATGACAATTTGAGAAAATATCCATGGTACAACAGCAACAAAATAATAAGACTATTTTGTGTGGCTGGTTAGACGCAAACAAAACAATATTATTTATAAATGGATCATACATATCATCATGGCACAGATGCTAGAATCTGGCTTTATGCATACGCGACAACGTAAATTGTATGGCAAGTGTAAACGCATGAATTGGAAATGGATCACAATTAAAACAACGTGTAAACAGACAGGCAAACAAGATATAGGCAACAAATCGGAATTAGGCATTAAGACCTGACAGTGTAAACGGGGCCAAAGTCTAGGTGTGAAAGCACCCTAAGGACGCGCTTAACAGCGATCAAGCGTTAACGTAAAAAGGACCAGTATCGTGACAACATTAAAGCAAAGTTTTATTTTCTTTAGCTTTAATCATGTGTTGTGAGTTTATGTATTTTGGCTCCTTGCTTGTTTGCATGTATTTTGTGTTTTTATGTACAGCACTTTAATACCCACTGTGGTTGGTTGAAAGTGCTCTAGAAATAGAGTTGAGAGTTGAGTTTGCATTATGTTTTCCCACATAAACTCAGAACAACAAACCATGGCCTGAATATATAATAAGCTTCAAATGACAAAATAATGGGTGGCACGGTGGCTCAGTCACCTCACAGCAAGAAGGTTGGTGGTTAGAGTCCCGGCTGGGCCAGTTGGCATTTCTGTGTGGAGTTTGCATGTTCTGCCCGTGTTGGTCTGGGTTTCCTCCGGGTTCCTCCAAACACATGCACTATAGGGGAACTGAATTAACTAAATTGGCCTTATTGTGTGTGTGTGTGTGTGTGAATGCGAGAGTGTATGGGTGTTTCCCAGTGCTGGGTTGTGGCTCGAAGGCAATAAGGGTGCTTTCACACCTGCCTCATTTAGTTTGGTTGAATTTCACTTGAGTTTGTTTTCCCTCTAGGTGCGGTTCGTTTGGGCAGGTGTGAATGCAGCAATCGTACTCGAGTGCGCACCAAAAGTGGACCAAAAAAAGCGTACCGACCCCTGCTTGAAGAGGTGGTATCGGTACGCTTTCAAACGAACCCTGGAGCGGTTTGTTTGTGGTGAGAATATAATCTGGACTAAAACAGACCCAACCGCAAAAAGTACTGCGCCTTTTTGGACTAATCCAGCTGCCATAGGCTGATGCGCAGTGCATTGTGGGATATGGAGGAAAAAAATTTGCTGACAGTGCAGGGGGAAAACATTACCTGAAGGATCGTTGGTAATATTTGCGTATGATGTTGCAGTTTAGCTAAATTAATTCACGCCTCCTCCAGAAGTGACGAGCGATGCATTAAACACTGTTTTCCAGCCGCGGCCGCGCTTCATTCTCGAAATGTATAGTTTGTCTAAAGCAGGAATACAATCAGTCAGTGCAGTCGTCCCTCCAGAGTATAAAGAGACATTTTGTGTCTGCTGGTTTTGTTTACTTGCGGGAGTTCATTGGCATCTTCCCGCACGTGAATTATGACCAATCAAAAAGCAGTTTAGAAACTATGTTCAACAACATCTGGCCAATGAGAGATGTGGATTTTGTCAGATGACTGCATTTTGGTTCTTTTCATCTGGTTCGGACTAAAGCCAGCAGTGTGGAGTGAACGACCCAAAGACGGCAGAAAATGCTACAATGTAACATTTATTACCCTTGGTCCGGACCAAATGAAGCGAACTACAGATGTGAACGCACCCTAAGACAACAAGAATTTAGGATGAAAAATTGTTGTGCATATTAAGCCAGATGAAGCGTTTTCATTGTGGCAGAATCAGAAGTGATTTTGTGGTAGTTTTGTTATAGTGTTGTTCGTGATGGTTGTGCTGTACCTTTGTCGTGTGGAGCTCTGCCGCCGGTGTTGTGCCAGGGCAGGCGGATGGAGGTGCGCAGGGGGGTGTTTCGCTGTTCATCAAGAAAACTGAGATCCTCCAGCTTAGTGGAGCTCGTCGCTGCAGACAAACAGAGAGAAAAAAAGAGATCAGCATTACAGGTGAAATCAATCCATGGCAAAGATCAAGCTCAAACATTCATCAGGGTTATTTTACTGATGTTAATATACTGTTATGATTTATATATACAGTTGAAGTCAGAATTATTAACCCCCCTAAATTATTCGCCCTCTTGTTTATTGTTTTCCCTAATTACTAATGAACAGAGAGATTTCTTCAACACATTTCTAAGCATAATAGTTTTAATAATTCATCTCTAATAACTGGTTTATTTTATCTTTGTCATGATGACAGTAAATAATATTTGACTAGATATTCTTCAAGACACTTCTATACAGCTTAAAATGACATTTAAAGGCTTCACTAGGTTAATTAGGTTAATTAGGCAGATTAGGGTAATTAGGCGCAAGTTAATGTATAATGATGGTTTGTTCTGTAGACTATCCAATAAAAATATAGCTTAAAGGGGCTAATAGTATTGACCTTAAAATGGTGTTTAAAAAATTAAAAACTGCTTTTATTCTAGCCGAAATAAAACAAATAAGACTTTCTCCAGAAGAAAAAATATTTTCAAACATACTGTTAAAATTTCCTGAATCTGTTAAACATTAGTTGGGAAATATTTAAAAAATTCAAAGGGGGGCTAATAATTCTGACTTCAACTATACTCTGTAACATAATGGAATGAGTTTATATCTGCAACAAAATAACCTAAAGCAATGTTCACTTAACATCTTTTTTGGTTACTTAAAAAATATAATTATACACTGAAAGAAATTACCTTTTGGTGTGGTAAAATCTAATAAATTTACTCTCATCATTTTTAAATTGTAATATCAAGTGTCAAGGATAACTAGAATTTTTTTAGAATTTAAAAAAGAAAAAATTCAAAAAAAAAATCTGATTTTACACACACACACACACACACACATTTTTGTTTAAATGAACTAGCTATATTTTTGTTTTGTTGTTTGTTTTTTAGAGATTTTATGTGCTTTTGTCATTTTTAATTATTTTGTTAGATTTTTTTTTTCTATTTCAGTTTTAGTCATTTTTGCACATTTTAGAGGAAATTTTAGTTAGTTGGCAATGAATCGTTTCCGTATTTTGTTAATTTTCTTTTTAATTTATTTGTACTTTTTTTAATTTAATGTTTAATTTATTATAAAATATGGTTTAATTTTTTTAATACATCATAAAAAACAAACAACCAAACTGCTTTTATCAGAAATGCATACGGAGAAAGTATGCAGTACAAGGAAAAAAGCTTTTCTCTTTTTTTATTTTTATCATTATTATTAATATTAGTTATTTATTTCATTTTTACTGCATTTTATTTTTAATTATTAAAAATGATCTGTTAATGTTTTGTTTATAAATAATAAAATATATAAACAACCTAACTATATATTATTAGCGATGTATACAGAAAAGAATATTGAAAACAAACATTTTAAACAATATATAAACCAGAGAATTTGCAATATGTTAATAATGATGTTTTAATTTTCTTTTGTTTTATGAAAGCAAGCATTCAGCACTGTCATTCTGTTTATCAATAGTTTACTTTAAGTTTTTTAAATGCATTTACCTTTTCTACTACAAACATTTACATTACTTGGGCAACTTTTTAATTGTTGTTTTAATATTATTTGATTTATGGTGTCTAAGTTCTGTTAAAACACACACAACACACATACACAAACAACAACAACCACCGCAACAAAACTGCCTAGTCAGCAATAAACAAATAAACAAATATTCATACATGTTAGAGCAGTTAAATCGCCATCAAAGAGAAATGCAAACAAGGTGACTGTTTCCAAACAGGTTTTCTCTGTCTGATAGCAAAAGGAAAAATGACACCTTATGAAGTGATGAATAAGACACAGATGACCATCTCAACTCCCACAAATTGAGAGCTGGGTCAAAGGTCACTGACCACAGTACACACACTGACCTGTCTGAAACAGTGCAGAGAGAAAGATGACATCATCTCAGAGCAAATAACAAGTAGCGACCATAATAAACACAGTATGGAAGAAAGGGTGAACTGAACTGCAGTAGGTCATCGCACACGCGCGCACACACACACACACACACACACACACACAGGGTTTTCGTTTTTTATAGGGACCTTTCAGCATTGTAATGTTGCTGTTTTTACTGTACAGACTGTATTTACTGTCTTCTTGCCCCTAACTCTATTCCTTACCCAACACTCACACGAAACATTCTGTACTTCTACATTTTCACAATACAATAATTCTGTGTGCTTTATGAGCCACTGTCCTCATGGGGACCATAAAAAAATGTCTCAAAAAGGTCAAAAATGACTGATATTGCTATATTTGAAGATATATTTGGTCCTCATAATGCAGTGAATAACAGGATCTCACACAATTACACACACACATGTTGTGTTTCATGTTTTATGGGGACCAAACAAATGTCACCAAAAGGTCAACAATTACTGCTATTGCTGTACTTGAGGAGATATTTGGTCCTTTATTAAGGTAGTGAATGTCAGGAACACACACGCACACAATTACACACATATTGTAAATGTGGTTTATGAGGACTCTCCATAGTATGTCTGATAATATTTTTATTTCCGGTGAAAGTCTTATTTGTTTTATTTCAGCTAGAATAAAAGCAGTTTTCATTTTTTTAAACACCAATTTAGGGACAATATTATTAGATAAATACATTAAATTAAATTAAATGTAATACATTTTTTAGATAGTCTACAGAACAAACCATCGCTATACAATAACTTGCCCAATTACCCTAACTTGCCTAATTAACCTAATTAACCTACTTAAACCTTTAAATGTCACTTTAAGCTGTACAGAAGTGTCTTGAAAAATATCTAGTCAAATATTATTTACTGTCATCATGACAAAGATAAAATAGATCAGTGATTAGAGATGAGTTATTAAAACTATTATGATAAACAATACAGTATACAGTATTATGTAAAAAATCTTCTCTCTGTTAAACTGAAATTAGGGAAAAAATTAATGGGTGGGGGGGGGGGGGGGGGTGGCTGTATTTCAGGGGGGCTAATAATTCTGATTTCAACTGTATTTGTCAGATTTTTCTAGTATTGTGCAGCCCTACAACAATGTGATGAATACCAGCCCAACACACACACACCAAACAATCCGACACATTTCAGAAGCAGCACAGCAACGACAATGCGAATAAAACAAATTAAACACACTATTCCTTCAGTGATTATCCTCCACTTTTCGAACAAATGTGACAGAAATACGTTATTTCAGCACACAGCCTCAAATGCACATCCATGCATCAGCCTGAAACCAAAGCACCAGCAACCTGTTTGCTCTCCAACTACTTCCCGCACACATGGAAGGGAGCATACTCACTGTTGCACATGCAGATGCATTATTCAGGCAAACACTGAAGCGGTTTGGCAAACCTCAGGGCTTTTTTCATTTCCTCAGGGCACCTCCATGTTCAGACACTGATTTTCACAGCGCATTCAACTGGTGAACGGCAGAGCAGCTTCACCGCATCGCTAAACACATCCACAAAACATCACAGACGCAAATCTCTGCAGTCCACAGAAGATAAAAACGAAGATCTCTCCTCTCTTACAGGGTGGATGATTGCAGTTTGCAGTGAAATAATCTGCAATCCTCTCAGAGAAAAGGAAGAGAGAGCTAATAAGGAATAGGTGAGGTGAGTTTGTGCAGACGGGCTGCTGAAGTGAATGGAGAGAGAGCAGACAGATGATGGAGGGAGGAGGTGCCGGTGCAGAGAGAGAGAGAGAGAGAGAGAGAGAGAGAGAGAGAGAGAGAAAGAAGGAGAGAGATTGGGTTTCTGCCAAATTACAGAACATCAGACCATATCTTCACCCTTCAGACTCTGATTGAAAAATACGTCAATCAAAACAGAAACAAATGATTTGTGTTTTGTAGATTTTCAGAGCGTTTAACTTCTAGAACAGGGTTTCTGCAGTCTTTACCAAGACTGTGTGTTGTTGCCACAGCCATGTCACCCTGCAGCCCAAGACCGGTTACTCACTGAAGCTAAGCAGGGCTGAGCCTGGTCAGTACCTGGATGGGAGACCACTAGGGAACACTAGGTTGCTGTTGGAAGTGGTGTTAGTGAGGCCAGCAGGGGGCGCTCAACCTGTGGTTTGTGTGAGTCCTAATGCCCCAGTAAAATTGAAGGGCACACTACACTGTCAGCGGGCGCCGTCTTTCGGATGAGACGTTAAACCGAGGTCCTGACTCTCTGTGGTCATTAAAAATCCCATGGCACTTCTCGTGAAAGAGCAGGGGTGTAACCCCGGTGTCCTGGCCAAAGTCCCTCTATCGGCCCTTACGATCATGGTCTCCCAATCATCCCCTTCCACCGAATTGGCTCTATCACTGTCTCTCCACTCCACCAATAGCTGGTGTGTGGTGAGCGCACTGGCACCGTTGCCCTGTGGCTGCCGTCGCATCATCCAAGTGGATGCTGCACACTGGTGGTGGTGTGGAGAGACCCCCCTCATGATTGTGAAGCGCTTTGGGTGTATGGCCATACACAATAAATGCGCTATATAAATACACATTACATTGCATTACATTACATTACATTACATAAAATTTCGGACATTTTAGGACCATTATGAATGAAATTTTAGACTTATACAGGGCTAAATGTTAAGGAAAATGTTAAGAAAATTTTCAATTGCCATATCAAAAAATGATCAAAATTTTATACATTTATTCATAATACTTTTGTTTGAATATCTTGTTTAATTAATTTTTAAATATATCTATTCACAAACCCTATAACCCTAGCCAAGAATAGAACAAAACACAGTTGCCAATTACTTCAGTCTACAATTATAATAATTTACTAATATAAAAAGGTGAGTATCCTCAGCAGTAAATAAATATCTATTTACTAAATATTTTATTTAGTAAATAAAAAAAAAAATATATATTTTTTTTTAAAGTGGATTGTTGGTGATTGTTTGG